GATTTTATTTATTTATTTGTCAGAGAGAGAGCGCGCGCGCGCACACACACACACACATGTGCATGCACAAGGAGGGGGAGGGGCAGATGGAGAAGCAGGCTCCCCACTGAGAAAAGAGCTGAATGTGGGATTCAATCCCAGGACCCTGAGATCATGACCCAAGCAGAAGGCAGATGCTTAACTGACTGAGTCATCCAGGCATCCCTTGCTGAATTTATTTAAAACAATAATGAAGGCTGGCATTTTGTCTCATAGTTTGAAGGTATTCCTCACTGTGATATTAAAAAAAATGCCTTTTGGTTTCTTCTCCTGTTTTCATTTTTATATTTAAATACTTGACCCTTCTGGGATGTATTCTGATACAAGATATACTATATGCATAATTTTTTCCCCAAAATGCTTAGCTTAACCATTTAATGGTTAAGTTAACCATTTAATGGTTGCCTTAACACTTTTTATTGTATAATTTTTTTCTTGACTGATTTAAAATCCTACCTTTTATTATCACTAAATTCCTATACATGTTGGTTTATTTCCAGACTTTCTATTATGTTTTGCTACCTTGATGTGCACTAGTCCTGTGCCAGTACTACAGCATTTTGCCTATTTTAGGTTTATGATGTTTTAGTGACTGGTAAACTAGTCTTTCTTCATTAATCTTCTTTTCTAACTTTTCTTGGCCATTATTTAAAATATAATAGTGTCTGGTCCCAAACAAAAATTCCTTTTTAGGAAAATTAAGTTGGATATAACTAAATGTATAATTCAACATAAGGAGTCATACATATCCATGATGTTGCATCTTTCTGTTCAAAAATATGTTATGCTTTTCCATTTAGTCACGATTTCTTTTATTACTTTCAGTAGTGTTTTAATTTTTTAAAATACATACCTTTTACATGATGTGATGTGAAGGCTTATGTATAATTAACCCTTTATGCCTTAGTTTCCTGGCATATTCACTGAGGTAATAACAATTGTCTCGAAGTAATTGCAAAGACTAAAGTAGGTAATATATGTGCATGACATGTTAGTGTTCTTCATATTATTAACAATAATAATTATAGTATTAGATAGTTAATATTATTTTTAAAAATTATTTTCTGTATCTGCATCAGTATGAAGAAAGTTGAGAAACCCAAGTATGGTGAGGACCTTTCTAGACACCAGGAAAAATTAGTGTTTTTTTTTTTTTTTTTTTTTACTACTCTTGTTTTTTCCCCCTTCTTTTAATTTTTTCAACTACTAAATCAGGACAATATGTTAAATATGAGTGAGATAAAGAAAAACCACTTGTGGTGGGTAAGGAATCACTGAGAAGGGATTCTGATGCTGAGGTGGTCACTGGAGACTCACTGGGTGGGTGACTCTCAGAAAACAGTTCACTTAAGCAGCTTGAAAAAAATTGTTTAAATTCTAGTTAGTTAGGATATAGTGTAATATTAGTCTTGGATATACAATATAGTGATTCAACACTTCTATACATTATCTAGTACTCATCACAGCAAGTGCACTCCTTCATCTTCATCACCTCTTTCCCCTATCCCCCCACCCATCTCCCTTCTGCTAATCATGTTTGCTCTCTGTAGTAAGAGTCTTGTTTCTTGGTTTGTCTCTCTCTCTCTCTTTTTTCCCCTTTCTTCATTAAAAATTTTTTTCAAGCCCCTATACAGGGCTTGAACTCATGACCCTGAGATCAAGATCTGCACTGAAATCAAGAGTTGGAAGTTTAACCGACTGAGCCACCCAGGCGCCCCTGATCATTTGTTTTATTTCTTAAATTCCACATAGGAGTGAAATCATATGGTATTTGTCTTTCTCTGACTTATTTTGCTTAGCACTTCAATAGCTTTTGACATCAGCTAAGGGAGAGAAAGAAAGAACTAAGAGTTGTGTTTTTTCTTTGAAGACATGGAAAGGAAAAAAACAGATAGGAATAGTAAGAGTTACTAAACATTATCTAGCTGTCTTTAAACTATGTTCTATATTATGCATTGTCATGTCACTATATTGAGCTGTTCTGTTGAGAAAAGAAATGAAAAGGCTGAGAAAATGTATTGGAGATTAAACCAGCGGGAAATCATTTGGTTTTCTTTACAAACAGATGTAGGAACAGGAATTGTCCACTTCTTAAAAACTCTACATCTCAGCCCTCCACTATTCGAATCCACCGAAGTGCCTGTATCCAAGGCAGCCCCCCCGCCCCTCCCCCAGTCTGACTCTCCAAATACGTTTCCATCATTTCTTCATCGTCCGTGGTCCAGGCTCTCCTGAAAAGTCTCTGGGCATGAGTCAGAGGAGGACAGGTTTGTTACCTGTGGTGTCAGGAAAGCTTAACTAAAATCCCTGTCTTTATCGATCCATGACAAATATCACAGATCACTGCCAAAGGTTTCACAGAAAACATTTTGTAAAATTTAAAAACATAATGCAAAACAATATATAAGTCACGATGTGTTAACAATGTAGAGGGCCACAGATTGTTTGAGAATGTATTTGGTGAGCAGATATTTTTGGGGTGTCTATCTGTAGACACGCCCTGTGCTGAGGATAAAGTACTGGACATTACAGATGGTGTTTCTATCCCCATAAGTGTTTATAGTCTCGTGGAGAGCCCGGCAAAGTGTCTAGTCATACAAATGAGCATATCACTACAAATGCTTCAGCAGGTGGTAACATTGTGGATGAGATGACATTTAAATACACAATTCCAGGTGCTTATAGACCTGGAAACCCATCAGTGAATTCCAGTCTGGGAAGCATTCTCTCTGGTGGTATCTTGGCTGTGTGATAGTGTGAAGCAAAGAGTGCTTTAGTAGGGGGTGATTTTTGTTCTGGAAGGAAGAGACAGGATTTGTGCTTTACTGACAAAGCAGGGAGGTCTTACCATCAGGGATCCTCTACCATGAAATTCCCCCGTCTGTTCAGGATGGCCACGGAACAATGTTCCCACATGCCCATTTACTCCTTCCTTTGTCTCTGAGTGACTCTAGAAATACTCCCCTAATATATAGTTCCCAGCTCAGACCTGAGTTTTTCTCTCCTATTCTTCACACATTGGCTTATTCTCCATGAGAAAAGATAAAAGTATGAAGACTTTGCCAGGCTAGTGCTTTTGGTGAGACTCAGACCTGTTTTGTGAATCAATATTAGAAAAGCAGACTCCAGATCCCTCCTTAACCAGAATGGGACCTGTCTAACCAGAGGGTTACCTCTTGAGATATGGCATGAGATCAGAAAAAACAGGGTTGTCACCACTTACAAAACACCAAATAAACTCTTTATTTTTACTCAGGCTTCAGAGTGTTAATCAGATGGAATGGCTAACTTTTCATTTAAAGAAAAAAAAAAGGTAAGCAGAAGGCACTTTATAGTTACACCCTCTGTTCAGTCTCAACTTCAAGATCTGTTCACTTTTACTTTTAACATTTCCCTATCTCTTAAATAATTTCTAGTCTATATTCTTCCCAACTCTTTTGGTCTTTGAAACCTTATCTACGGGCTCTACAAAGTCTGCCCTAATTAGAGGAAGTTGAATTACAAATAGCCATTTCACTTACTCCCTCTAGTTAAGCATGAAATAGAGAATTTGTTGGACTAAGGGAAGAAAAAGTCTGTGCTACTTGTTTTTGTCTAGTTAGTCTAACAGTCCTGCTCTAGAGAAACAGGACAGCTTCTGGAACACCCTGTAAGATATGTTACTTTCCCATATCAAAAACTCTCCTATGCCAGGGCATCTAAAACTAATTATTTGGCCTAGTTTTCAGACCCCTACGAAGTCCACCCCCTCTTTCCAGCCTTTACTTCTGTCTCATAAATCCTCAGAATGAAGACTTTGCACTAACCAAACTGGTTTGCTCACTCTTTCCCAGACAAACCTCAGTTTTTTCAACCTCCTCACTTCATTTGTGTCATTCCCCCGCTCTCCAAGAATAGATCTCTCTCTCGACTCCCTCAACTGTCCAAATCTGACCATTTTCTAAGGCCCCAAATAGTTTTTTCTTCTTCTTTAATCTGCCCCCCCCCTTTTAAAGAATTTATTTATTTGAGAGAGAGAGCATGAGAGCAGGGAGGGTTAGAGGGAGAAGCAGACGTGGGCTTCATCCTGGGGATTCTCGGACTCAGGGATCATGACCTGAGTAGAAGGCAGACACTTAACCGAGTCACCAAGGTACTCCTCCTTTAATCCCTTTGCAAACTATCCAGATTTTTCCTCTTCATGGGAGAATTTCATGAGTTCAGTGGGGGTTTTTAATGTGTGTCCTATATTTAGTAATTAACCAAATATCCCCTTATTTAACATTTTGCATTATTAGATTATGTTTTAAGTTCTTTTTTCTTTTTTGGCACTTATCTTTTATCTTTTTAAACAGTCTCCAGGTTGTTGGGAAGGATCTCCTATCAGACTTTGTGTGTCTCTTATGGTACCTGGAGTGGTGTAGTGCACACAAATCTTTTTACTGGTTGATATTTCTTTCTAAGACCTGAATGGTGTCCCAGGTCCATCATGCTCCTAGCATCTGGGAGGAGGGTGTCGGGATGATAACTGAGGTGAGGAAGGGCTTCGGACTGGGCAAAGAAGAGGTGTTCATTAAATGTGGTATTTGGTGATTGACTGTAAAGATGAAGCTGACATGTAGGGCAAGGGTAAAAATGGTTGTGGGGATTATTTTGATGTTCATCCAGTCAACAAATGTTTAACATTTCTGATTGGTGTAAACTGCTTTTGAGTCTTGATGAGAACTAGTCAGAGCTACAAAGATTTCAGAACTTGTCATTATTTATATTCCTTCAAAAACAAAGAGTACATTTTTCACACACACACACACATGTGCACAGTTGCACAAATACTGTTTCCCTTAGTACAAGTTTCACTGTCCTTAGGAAGCAGCCTTCTCTTTCCCCTTCTCAGCTTGTCTATATTTCTCTGTTAACACAACTGACTTCCTGCCCAGCATTCAGCTCTGGGCCCCACCAGCACCACAACACTGGAGCCACCATTACAACTGGGTGTGTGTGTGACACTCACAGGCCACGTGGTTCAGCACATGGTGTCCCCAGGTGTGCAGGCACATGGTGACCACTGTCTCCACCACAGAAGTCACCAGGCTTATAAGGCAAGAGACAGCTGCCATGTAGCACAAGTGGTCACCAATAGCCATGTAGCAGTCATAGGCCATAGCAGCCAGTAGCAGGAACTCAGTACTCCCCAGGGCCCCTGAGAAGAAGAGCTGGGTCCCACACTGGGTGAAGGAGATGGTCTTCTTTTCCAGCAGGAAGTGCACCAGCATCTGGGGGACCCCACTAGAGGTGTAGCAAATGTCCACCACCGAGAGGTTGCAGAGGAAGAAGTACATGGGCAGGTGCAGGAGGACCCCCAGCGGGGTCAGCAGATAGGCAGCCCCAAATAGGACAAACAGTCCAGCCTGGGTCTGCCTGTCACTGGAGAGCCCCAGGAGGACAAACTCACTTTCCCAGGTCAGGTTGTCCCTCCTCATGAAGCAGGTGGGGTAGGTGGCCAGCAGGGGAAGGTAGCTCAGAGAGGCCAGAATCAATCAGAATTCAGTCTGCGCCTGAACAAAGGACTGTAAGCAGAACTGCAAGAACTTGAATGTTTTCTCTCTTAGACTCTGAGCCTCTTGAAATCAGGGATCTTTTGTGATTTTCTCTTTTCTTTTTTTTTTCTTTCTTTCTCTCTCTTTTTTTTTTTTTTTTTTTTTTTTTGAGAGAGGCACAGAGAGAGTGCATGCAGGGTGGAGGTGGGGCAGAGGGAGAAGGAGAGAGAACCTTAAGCAGGCTCCATACCCAGCATGGAGCCCCACCCATGGCTTCATCTCAGGACTCTGAGATCATAACCTGAGTCAAAATCAAGATTTGGAGGCTTAACTGACTGAGCCACCCAGGTGCCTCTGTGATTTTTCTTTGTATGCAAAGATTCCTAACAAATGTTTCACAATAAAATTTTTGTTGAGTACACAAATTAAAAAAAAAAGTTAAAAGCAGTGGCCTTGAGGATTATTCTCTGATCCTAAGATATAGGACTTATGTTCTGGACTTCCTCCTTGTCCTTACTGCTCACACTGGAGCTCATGGTTCTTCCTGTTCCTCCCATAAGCCAGGCTAGGTCAGTGACAGAGAAAATCGCTCAACTTGGTTCTCAGTGTACTGATTAATAAGGCTTATTCTGGGTTGATAAGATCAGGGCCTTAATTATATTAACTATAATTATGTCCCAACTTCTTGTGATTATGCTATTTCCTTGGTGAAATGCTGGCATTTATTTGAATGGTAAAGTAAGTGATTTATAAAAGGTGAATGCATACATCACTTATTTGCAGTGATAGCATTTGGAACCTGACGGTGCCCACAGATGGAGTCAGTAAGGGAGTGCCTCTGAAACCCTTTGAGCTTTGTTATGTGTAAATCCTTCTGTCATAACAGAGGCAGGTTTGCCCTTGGTACACCTCCCTGTTTACTTTGCTGGTCTTTAGCCTCTACCAAAGGATAAGATGTCATATTTTCCCTCAGTACAAATGTACTAAGCAATTTTATAATCTTTGTTTATCTATATATTAATAGCAAGTCCCCCTAGCTCCATTGCCATATTTACATTGTGTGTCTTTGCAACATGGTGGGAGGAGATAGCATTATTGGCTAGTTTAGGAATAAGGAGAGAGACCACAGAGACATGGAGAAGAGTCTGACTGCTGGAAAAGCCCATTTGGATGCTCACTAGGGAAGCTTGAGATGGAAGGAAAAAACTATACATATTAGGATTTGCCTATGAAAATCCCACACAACCCATGGTGGACACCAGGGCAGTGCCTGTCACAGTAGCTACACAGTAGAACCACCTGGCATGCTTAGAAGACTCCAGAAGCCTGGAAAAAACTCCAGAGCAATTAAGTCACAGTCTCAGGTGAGTGACACACAGATATTAGTATATTTGTAACTTTTAACATTTCCCAAACAATTAAAATGTGAAGCTAAGTTTGAGACCCACTGCTTTAGACAGAACCTTTTAATCTTATTTTTGAAGATTCAAGACAAATTCTTTTTGGGAGAGGAATATGTTTTACGATAAACCTGGAAAGTTTTTGTGGAGGAACGATCTTTTGGGCTAAACTTCTCATTCTTTGTTAGAAAAAGTTGAGGCCAAGAGAGTTTAAATGATTTGCCTGAAATTCCATTGAATCAGTGAAAAAGTGATCCTTGATATGTTGCCTTTTTGTGTGTGTGTTGGGTCTTCCCTTAGTCTTACTTTCTTAGGTCTTGCCCAAAAACAATGTTTCAGAGTATCTTAGACCCTGGGAAGAAGTAGTAAATATCAAATGAGATTGTGTGTGAGAAAGCCCTCATAAATTTCAGAGCATTATCTAAATAAGAAGGATCTGTATGAAAGATAATGAGAGATGAGTCACAGAATCCAATGATATGGAAATGAAAACAATTCAACCCAAGTTTTTCTAACCAGGCTCTCTTTCTAACTCAAAGATTAGGCTCATGGCTGGATGGGGGTGAAGAGCACGGAGTCCCAACTAGCTAGACACACCTCTGTCTAGATAGTTGGAACCCATGCTTTCCCTCCTTTCAGTCCTTCTGTGTCCAGAAGGTGTCACTGTAGAAAATGCTAAGAATAGACTGGCTTTGGCAGGGTACCCCACTGATTTTCTGAGCCCTGCACCTGGGATGGAGCCCCATTCCCACTGAACCTATTTCCTTCAACACTGCAGTAAGTAGCCAAACTTTACTTCCCAAATGTGGCTCCTGAGTGTCCAGAACACCATTAACTGAAATTCTCACCAGGGAAGAGAATGAAATGCAAAATGAGTACAGAAGGGAGAACAAGCTGGAAGGAACTTTGGGGATCTTCATGTCCACCTTGTCATTTTACAGAATGAGGAAACTGAGGTTCAGGGAGCAGGAGTGATTCTTTGAGGTGGTTTTGCCAGCTAGGCTCAGAGCTGGAACTGGGTCTGGAATCAGAGGACCCTATTCCATGTTCTTCCTGCTACATCGTGTGTGATCACTTTCTGCTACATCTTGTGTGTGTATCACAGTAGGTGGTGGGGAGCAGCACACCCACAGAATGATTTGTGTGACAGGTTTGATTTTTGTTGGGGGGAGGGTGATGTCAGGAAAGGGGTAGTGCTTAAGATGCTACTCTGGGGGGACTTGGAGCTGCTGCAAAGTGATGCAAGGAAACTGGCTGAAGAGCGGTTCGGAGAGGCCAGCCGCCTGGTGGCCCAATTCATTAGATACCTGACCTCCTTCCATTTTATTGTAGGCTAGGGTATCACACTGCTCAGTGCTAGATGTTCCATTGGTATGTGATGAAGATAAAAGAAAATACATTAAACTGTAAGAGCTTGTGATTTGTTCTTCCTTACTAACTAAAGAGAAAAACTGAGGTTTCCTTGCTGTGCAAAATGCAGACACTGGGCAAAGAGCAGACAAACACCTAAACACGGAGGCACTAGAGAAAGGAAAAGATAATTTGTTGATTTGGGAAGAGAACTTAATAGTTACAGAAGAATCTAAAAATGATGATGAGTTAAATCATTTTGACTGGAGATGGGGCTGAGTGCCTTCAGTGGGAGTGGGAGCAGGGAGGAAGGGAGGCTGATGAAGGGATGAAGGTATTGAATCCATTTCTGTTAAGTATCTAAAATAGGCAAATCCATAAAGGCAGAAAGCAGATCAGGGTTGCCAGTGTCTGGGTGAAGGGAGGAATGGAGAAGTTCTGCTTAAAGGGTATGAGGTGCCCTTTTGGAGTGATGAAAATGTTTTGGAACTAGAGAGACATAAGGTTGAACAACATGGTGAATATACTAAATGCCACCAAGTTGTACACTTTAAAATGGTAAAAATCATGACTCATATGTTACGTGAATTTTATCTTGATGAAAAAAAAAAGGTTTTACTAGAATTTAAAAAGGTACTCCAGGGGCACGTGGGTGGCTTAGTGGGTTAAGCGTCTGACCCTTGATCTCAGCTCAGGTCTTGAGTTTAAGCCCCGTGTTGGGCTCCACATTGGGCTCCATGTTGTGCATGGAGCCTACTTAAAAAAGTAAAAATAATAAAAAAATAAAAAGATGCTCCATTTCTTCCTCCACAAACTTTTGGACTTTTCTCAGCAGATTGATTAGAAGTTTGAATTACTCTCAATTTATGTTTTTTTTTTTAAATTTTAAAATATTTTATTTATTTCTTAGAGAGCAGAGTGAGAGAACATTAGTGGGGTGAGGGGAGAGAGGGAGAAGCAGACTCCCTGCTGAGTAGGTCGCCAGATGCTGTTGTGAGGCTCTCATTCTAGGACCTTGGGATCATGACCTGATACGAAGGCAGTCGCTTATTGGACTGAGCCACCCCAGACGCCCCTCAATTTATGTTTATTTATTTATTTATGGGAAGACAAACCAGATATCTGTAATATTTAGGTAAGAGATACTTTAATTTTTAAATGTTCTAAATATTTTTTCTGGACAAAATTATCTCTATTTCACTTTCCGGATTAGAGTATTTAGTGCTCAGTCACTCATTGTGTGTTACCAGAGTAGAGCAAACTTGGAAACAGATTCCTTGCTGAGTAGCTCACTTGGCTCACCTCTGATGGTGTGTGGCATGATAGTCAACTGTGAATTCTGAACACATTTCTTTTTTCAGAAGAGTACGTCCTTAGACCTGATTGTATAGAAAGTATGTGTTTGAGGTTCTGAAGGCTTGACTTTTTGGCCAGCCATTTGCCACCACTGCAAGCCTGAGAGCGTGGAGGCATGCAGACTGATGTGCAGATGACTCATGCACAGTCCAGTCCTGTTCATCAGGGCTGTGTGGATTATTACTATGTCTTTGGCTCCATGTCCCTGTGTGAATTCCCCACCCTGCTGAGCTGGGCTGGACCATGTGTGAGTCACATGGGTGACCTTTGCACCTCTGGCCCAATGCCTGTTCCATCCCTTGGGCACAGTGAATTTTGTAAATTACAGCTCCCGCCTTCCCTCTCTCTTCTCATTGATTACAGGAAAGCTTAAACATATAGTTGTAGATTTTTGAAGGAAATATACTTTCCTGGCATAAGTTTTGTGCATTGACCTGACTTCTGATTTGATCTTCTTTTCTAATTCATATATGCTGGGGTATCTTTTTTTTTTTTTTTTTTTTTTTTTTAGTTTCTGTAGTGTGTATGTATTTGTAAATTGTAATTCACATTTTTAGAATAAGTCAGGGACCAAAAATAGAGCCCAGGGATATAATCCATTTCCCTGTTACCGCAAACGATAGTGAGTGGAACAGACTGTGGTCCTCCTACCTGCTCCCTTACACCATGCTCATGCACAGACACATGCATACATTATGCTGAGGACACACACTCCAAGATCTATGGTCTTCAGAGTGAGGCCTCTTAAGACAAAGTTGCATACTAAAGTTTTGATTCAGAACTGCTCATCAGAACTCGACTCAGGGCAGCCTTCATCTCTTTGTTCCGTAAACTGTA